GGGAGCTGGAGGGGAGATCAGGAGGGAGGGGGGAGCTGGAGGGGAGGCACATGCAGGGCAAGGACCTGACCTGGCCTGGCCGTGGCTGAGCAGAACCATCACTTCAGGAGAGGTTTAGAGGTGGAAATGGGGGAAGTTTGGAAACCAACAAGACATTTCAGACCTGCTGTAGAGCCAGTCCCAGGTGTGGTCCCAGGGGGAAAGCAGGTTTGGGGACCTAGTTCAGACCACCACCAACTCTGCCCAGAAGACTTGCAGACCTACCTCTGTGTCATCTCCTTCCTCTCTAACCTCTGCACATTTGAAAAGCGTATTTTTAGAAACCACAAAAAATCTTCTCTCTAGGTATTTTTGCTAATCAAATCCTTCTTTAAGAAAATAAAACAGAACTATCTTTTTTCCCCAGGGTGAAATCAAGCACAACCAAATGATCTAAGGAATTATCGTCTTTTTCAAAGGATACCAGCCTAAATGCTATAAAAGGTATTGTTCAATCAGAGGGCACTGGATCAATGCTTTGTCTACAGAAAAATACCTGGACATGCCACACCTGAGTCATCAGAGTTCAAAGAATGGGATGAAGAAGACCCACGTGAGAGCGGGAATGAGCATCCCTTTATCCTCCAGGATTCCCGAGACTCTCCAGCGCCGGGGCTGTGCCCTTGTGCATGTGTGTCGGGAGCTTGCTGGATGCCAAGTCAGTGGCCCAGCTCTGCGTAATGGTCTCACTTGGTTGGACAGAAGAATCTGAGGGTGACGGCATCTATAAAAAGACTGGAGACAGTTGGCCAAGTTTGCGATCCCCTGTGGCAACACAGGACCAGACTCACAGGAATGTGGTCAAGAGGTAAAGCTAAGTCCTGCTGACATTTGACATCATGTAGCTGAGAAGGCCACCGAGCATCTCAGTGGATGTCACTGAGCCCGATGAGAAAAGCAGACTGTGCAGACAGCACTTCCAAAAGTGGCACACTGGCCGGCGGACAGGCACTAACACATTTGGGTGGAAATTGCCAATCCAGAGTTGCCTTGCGTAATTGATAGATTTGGTAGTCTTGGGAAAGAGCTTTTTCCAGGAAGAACTTGTTTTATAGGCGACTTTTCCTGCCAGGAGACCCGTTTCTCCATCTCTCACTATCACTATCTCTGACTCATCTCCCACAGTTTAAGGGAAAGCTGTCTTGGGGGGGAATGAGTGTGGGGGTTGCAACGAAACTTTCTGAGTATGTCCAAATGTCCCCTGTTAGAGCTTCCAGTGACTGCTAAAGCTCTCATCCCCTGGCCCCAACTCCATCCCAGAGAGGGCGAGAGCAGGTGTGTCGTGGGGGCGGCTGGCTGCTCAGAGAAAGTGCTCCCCAGGACCCACCAGTGCTCCCCGAGGTCAGAAACCCTGTCATCATTGACAGGAAGTGATAATTTACTCTTGAAAGGGGAAGCAGAGAAAAAAGTTCTGGGCAGTATAGGGTGGGGAGTCAGGAATGAGAAGAGAAAGAAAGGTTATTTGGACACTTTAGGAAATGACTAGAAAATACCAAACAAGCATGGGTGGCCTTCCTAAGTCCCTGCGAAAATAACCCCCACTAAACTAGCTAAGCATGGAAACAAAGGCCGTCCAGAATAACAGGCTTATGTTGGCTTGGGCTCTTGGATGAAAAGCATTTGGGGAAACAAAATTGATTCTCCAGTGCCCCAGTGATAAACTGTCGTTATCCTAGATTTGCTGCAATTCGTTGTTTTCATCTTTCAGATTCTCTCTAGCTCCTTTTTAGCACCTCTCGATGAAGCTGATCAATGTACGGGTGGGTGGGCTGGGGGGTGCGGATGACGGCAGCTATCCTGTGTCTGGTCTGCTGAATGCGCCCCCCACCCCCAGCTCGTCCAGTCTGCGCCACACCACTCAGCCGTCAGAGGTCTTGCGAGGCTAGTTAACCTGTCAGTGGCCCCAGCTGAGAATGAGTCTCTTCACCAAAGTGCATGGAGAAAATGACAGCTGTCGCTGGTAGGTAAAGTCGGCCGGAGACTGGCCCAGGACGAGGCACTAATGACACAGGCAGCCTCACTCTGCGACCCCGTCACGGGCTGAGGCGGCCCCGCTCTGAGACCCCGTCACGGGCTGAGGGCAGTCGCGCTC